CTCGGGTTCGCTTTGGCCCGCTGTTTTGGGTCTTAGAGGGGTATGGGGTTTAGGGTTTAGGGGTTTAGGGTTGAGGGGTTTAGGGGTTTAGGGTTTAGGGTTGAGGGGTTTAGGGGTTTGGGGGTGTAGGGGTTCGCTTTGGCCCGCCGTTTTGGGTCTTAGACTTTACCCATGTAGGCCCCATAGTAGTTCCTTTTTGGGATTACCAAATAGGGTCCTATTAGGTAATCCCAAAAAGGAATGACTATGGGGCCTATAGGTAGGGACAAGCCACTGTTGGGGTTCAGGTTTTAGGCTTGAGTGCTGGTCTATAGGATCATCAATGCTTCGCGTTGTTGTTCGCGGTTGCGGCAGCTCAACTCGAGTTGTGCTGGCTGATCAAGCCTAGCAAACAAAGTCTTTCCAATTGAGCCTTCAATCAACACAACGGTGGGCTTTCTTTCGCCGCAGGTCCGGGATCTACAGCTTAGGGATCGACGGTGAAACGTGGTGAGTTTCCAAGCCTTTCACAGTCAAGCGCTTTGTGTTCATGTGGTGCGCAAGCCCCAGGAGAAATTGCGACCGGCTGAGAATCTGAAGCCGGAGTCGTCTCTGAAGGCAAAGCTGGGGGCTCTTGACAGAAAGACCTATAGTCTCCATTGTAGTTCCTTTTTTTGGTTTAGCCAATATTATATAAAGGAACCTATAAGGTAACCCCAAAAAGGAACTACAATGGAGACTATAGGTAGGCTGCTTTCTCGATCGCGGATTCAGGTCACAGGTGCATGGCTGTCATGCATATTGGACTGAATATGGGCATATAGAGTTTTCGCCCCCGAGCAATCCCCCGATCAACACAGGCAACCCTAACCCCCCAGGTACCTACTATCTAGGGCCCTTGGGGCTCTAGTACCCTATATAGTAGGTACCTGGGGGGTTAGGGCAAGTGGGGGTTTCAGAAAACTAGAGTACCTTTTTTTGGAGTCCTTATAATAGGGATCCTATTAATTAGGGTACTATATTGGGGTCCCCAATTTTCGGGAAACCCCCAAGTGAGGGTTTGGTATCGGGTTGGCTTTGCTTTTCGTGGACGCATGGCCCGGATGAGGCTTGGGGTTCTCAGGGTGTGCCGGTTAGTAATTCCTTTTGGGATTACCTAGTAGGATCTTAGATATAAACCACAAAAAGGAACTACTATGGGGCCTACATGGGTGTGCCGTAGAGACGAGGGCTTGGGGTTTGGTGCTCGATGCATGATGTATCGAATGCACCTGCAGGCCTAGCACCAACCCCTTCGACAGAAGCCCAACCATCGTAACCTACTTTGTTTCAGGGTCTGCAAACAACTCGCCGCAAGGAGTAATACAGTATGAGGAACACCACTGGATGCTACTACTGTGGTGTACAACAGATCTCCCTAACCCCCCAGGTACCTGCTATATAGGGTACTAGGGGTACCTGGGGGGTTAGGGTCTTGTCGCTGAGTCACCCTGTGGGATCCCAAGATGGCCTGACAACCGCAAGGCCCTAAGACATCGAAATTTGAGCCGGATCAGCTCCAAGAGCCCCAAACGGTAGACCCGTTTTAGGGTTTAGGGTTTAGGGTTTAGGGTTTCCTCTCATTGGCAAGCCCTAAGTTTTAAAATCGTACACCTCTGTTGAAACTATGTACTACCGCCCCTTGGCATCCTATGCCTACTGACCTAAAGGCCCCCGGAGAATGCTAAGACCCAGTGAGGCGGCGCTGTATAACGAGGCGCCCGCCATTCTTCTCGATGCCCCTTGTCCTTGCGATTAACGGCTACCGTAGTGTTTTATGCTTTCCTCGTCCTAGGGTAGGATTTCAGCTTACAGGGCCTATAAGGTCATCTTGGTGGGTCGGGGGACTGAGCCAGGACGAGAACAGGTGTGGTTAGGGCTAGTATGTATGTGTGAACATGTGTATGCACTTGTGCTTGCTTGCCTGCCTGCCTGCCTGCCTGCCTGCCTGCCTGCATGTACTTAATTTATGTATGTGTGGGACGGTGGGTGGGTGGCTGGGTGGAAGGATGGGAGGATCGGTGGATCTAGTCTTGCTTGAATGTGTGTCATTTATATGGTCCCTGGCGCTACCATTACCATTAGCATTATCGTTACCAATACCATTGTCCTTCTCATGGTTTTGCTTGTTGTTATAACGTTCATCAACATTGTCATTCTTCAACATTATTACGGTCCTGGTCTTGGTCCTAGTCACGTTCATTGCCATTGTCTTCATGCTGACCACCATCATGTTCCTCGAATTGCCAGCATCTGCATCGTCACTGTTTTCAGCATCTATATTCTGAACCTAAAGGCCATGATCCCCGTGAGTTGCAAGGCCGTCTAATCGGTTTCGTCTCTGGCAGAAGGAGAAACTTACCCGGGAGCCCTCATGATGTCTTGACGTCTATACCCAAACCCCACAACTCCAAGCTCAGGTTTACGCAGCGCTGGCTCCCCGCACGGCCGTCAAAGAGCACGGCTCGGGGACCCAGACATCTATAGAATCGACGCTGAAGCAGCCTGGAGAGCTCTCGAAAACTTTCCGCAAGCCTTCTACCAAAACCCTCACCCCCCAAGTACCCTTTAATAGAGCCCTTGTGGTCCGAAATAGTGGGTATTTATAGTATAATAGAGGGTAGTTGGGGGGTGCTGGAAAACCCTCACCCTTTAAAGGACCCTAGCTTATACCCTAAAGGGCCCTGAAGCTCACTACTGCCCAGGTCTCGGGGAGGTGGTGAAGGCCGCGTCGACGAAGGGCCTCGCAGTTTCATTCGGCTGTGAGTGGTAGTTGGTTTAGGGGTTTAGGGTTCAGGGGTTTAGGGCTTGGGGAGTTCATCAGCTACCAGAAAAGTAAGCCAGAAAAGTAGGGTTTAGGGTTTAGGGCTGTGAGTGGTTGTTCATCAACTACCAGAAAAGTAAGCCAGAAAAGTAGGGTTTAGGGTTTAGGGCTGTGAGTGGTAGTTCATCAACTACCAGAAAAGTAGGCTCGGGGTTTTACGACCAGGACGACCACGACCGCGACGGCGACTGTGTTGACGACGACACTGCTACTGTCACATCAGTCTGCGACGACTCAATCGACTGCGTCGTCCATCATGATGTCCCGGGTGACAGAAAGGTGCAGGGGTTATTTGCAGGCCCTTCACCCGAACCGCTTAGAATTTGTGCGTGGGAGTTTACGCCAAGGAGACTCTGTTGGCTGACCAGGTTCTGCATAATAGAATTCAGGCCCGAAGCAGTTGGGCACAAAGTATGGCGCTACATTATCCTGAGCTCAGGTTACACCGATCCGTTCTCCATATCCAGGTTCTTAGTTAAGGGACGGGTGCCGGGAGTTGCGATGCAGCCTGGGAGTGAGCTCTACCCTTCCATAGGCTCATCCTCAGCTCGAACTTCAGGCCTGACCCTAAACCCTAAACATTTTGGGGTTTTAGGGTTTTAGTTTAGGGTTTGAGGTTTAGGGTAAACCCTAAACCCTAAACCCTAAACCCTAAGCATTGGGGTTTTAGGGTTTTAGTTTAGGGTTTAGGGTTATTGTTTGTCACTTAAGAAAGAAGTCAAGACTACAAGGGACGGTTGGCAGGCAGAGTTCATGGGACTGCTCCACCGTGCCAAGAAGGCCGGCCTCTGTTGGGAAAGGTGTCGGGGGTTTGCATCAGAGTGAGAGCCCAATCGTAAACAGCTATAATAATAATAGTAGTAATAATAATAATACTAATAAAGGGTTTGGGGTTTTGTGGTTCAAGGTTGAGGCTTGGCGGTCTGGAGGTACATCCGCACATTACTCGCTTCGTCAATGCACTCCTTTGGCCAGCTGTGGGTGGTTGATTCACGAGCTGCGCAGATTGTATCATCATGGGTGCATATCAATCGTGCCAGACTACCTTTGAGGGAATGCGAAACCCTGCCACGAGGGAGCTGACCTCACTGATAATTCCGAAAAGAGCCCTGAACCTTAAACCATATGGGGTCTCAGGGGCGTTGGGTTGCTCTCTGAGGGTTTCAATCGAACCCCGTGGCCTCTCATTCACCATAGGAGCGCTCGGGTTTAGGGGCGTGAATCTTGGCGTACCTATAAATTTGTCTGAATATTCTCCTCCATTGTCCAACAACAATCGAGCAGGTTGAGCTGCGTTGGTGCTGGTGTAGCGCTGCATGGTTCCCGCCTAGTAATGCACCCCTAAACCCTAAACCCTAAACCCCTAAGCCCGAAAACTCAGCCTGCTCCAAACCCGAAACCCCTCGAGCCCTAAGCCCCTTATTATATCTCGCTCGAACCCCTAAACCCTAAGGGTCCATGTGCCCAAATAGTATATACTTTTTAGGGTTTAGGGTTTAGGGTTTAGGAAATAGTATATACTTTGGCCACAAAGTACCTGTATGTGGACTACTTTAAGGCCAAAGTATATACTGTACTATTTGGGCACATGGACCCTTAGGGAAAGACACGACTGAAGGAGAGGAAGATCCTCATCTTCATGCTTGGCGGGCCGAGCCTCTTTGTTGGCAAAGACTTAAAACCCCCTCCCAAGCATTTTTCGGATCGTGCGGTAGCCCTTTCTGCTGGTGTTTAGGGTTTATAGGTTTATAGGTGTTTAGCAGGAATTGTGATGGTTGGGTGAGGTTCTACCACTTAGGGCCTCTTTTTATGGACTTTATTCTGTGCCCACCTAATTATCCCGAACTCTCAGTCATAACTCTTCACATTCCCCATCGTTGAACTCCGCTAGGCCCTAATCGTGAACCCTCAAATCATTCGTAATTTCAAAGTCCTGAAGAAACTTTACAGGCTGGAATATGCGTACAGCAATTAACCCCTTCTTGTTCCCGTCATACTGTACAATATACGGGTCAAACCCTATGGTCATGGTTACATATATGAGCCCGCAGCAACCAGACCTTCGGCAGGCCCAGTGGAATTGGCAGAGCCGCTTTGTTGCAAGAGTCTACATGCGACAGCATAGAGGTTCTGGCCTACACAGGTTTCTCACGGCACTTGTTTGGTGGTTGTCGGGGTCTTTGTTACTGGGACGCGGGGTGCTGTCAATCTCCCGCACACTGTGAACACTTGACAACACACAACTCAGAGCTGCAACTCAGTCGTTCCTAAAATCTATTGGAGTCAGGGCCATATTTGCCTCAACAGCTTGTAAAAGGACTTCCCTCTGTAGGGACCACTACCAAACCCCAAACCCCTCACTTCTTAAGCCCCACACTCTGCACTCCCAAGTCCCAAGTGTGTATATGTGCATGAAGCCCTAACCCCCCAGGTACCTACTATTAAGGGCCCTAGGGGCTCTAGTACCCTATACAGTAGGTACCTGGGGGGTTAGGGGAGCTTCAAGGAAGGTCTACCTCAAGGAGCACTATGTGGCTATGGGTCTCCGATGTGGATTCCTCCGATGGCTGCTTTTCTGAAAGAAGCGTCCAGGCTGTACAGGCCTTTCGGGTACAAGGGCTTACCTTAAACAACCAAAACCTACTTGTTTATAGGGTCCCTGTAAATTCAATATTAGGGTTTAGAATAAGGGCCTACAAGAAAGTGGGCATTAGGGACTAGTGGAGTATGGGGGTTTTAGGTTGTAGGGCTTGGCTGGCATGTGCTAAGTGGGGAGTTAGGTTAGGATCTGCTCGTGTGTGCGACGCGATCGGGTAGCCAAGTCCACCTGTAATATCGGTCTTGGTGTGAGGGCTACGCCGGTCGACAGCCGAATAGCGTTCGACTTCCGCGCATTACGATCCCGAGCGTCTTCTTGTCAAGACACGGAGACCTTAATCGAGGTTCGATCGTCCTCGCATGTTTACGACAAGCAGGGTCCTGGCAGTAGACCTTGGGTGGGATCCCTACTCTGAACACGCAGTTTAGGTGCGGATACATATTAAGACTCCCGAATGCGAGGCACATGGAGCAACAACCTCTTGATTTTTCATAGTCAGTCCCAGAAAGTTGGAACATGGATGTAGCAATATTCAGCATGATGATTACTGGGATCCCTAAACTTTATCCGATAGGCATGATGATTCCAACTATCTGGCTTCTAATCCTAAACCCTAAACCCTAAACCCTAAACCTTAACCTTGTTATGAGTTATGAGAGCAGAGGCGACTCTTTTGTTCGCCGGGGATCATCTGGACCCGACAAGGACGCTTGAAACCCTATGAAAAGCCCATGAAAGACGAATAGGCCCCATAGTACTTCCTTTTTGCGGCTTATCTTTAGGATCCCATTAGGTAATCTGAAAAAGGAACTGCTATGGGGCCTATGGGGACACCCCAAAACAACCCTATGCACAACTCGAAACATCCTCCCAACTCGACCTTCGACCTTCTAGGAGAGAAACGCCCAAAGATTCCTGGCGCCGACAGATGCTTGGAAAGCAGGGCCCCGGGGTGGGGTTAGGGTTTAGGGTTTAGTGTTCAGGGTTTAGGGTTCAGGGTTTATTGATTCAATCTCAATCTCGTCGGTTTCAAGGTTAGTATATCGATTTAGGATTGTTGTTTGCTTCAGGTTGAAGGGCTTCCTGGTTTCAGGCTGTGGCAACTATTAAACCCATTCAACCATCCGTCTAGGGCGGCAGTCTGGCCTTGAAATTTGAGGGTTCAGGGTTTAGGGTTTCGGGGTATAGGGTTTAGGGACCCTAAACCCTAAACCATTTCGTCGGGACCTTCCGTCGGAATTCCCGCAGCTGAGGAAAGGCTTTGACCAGCGGTTGATTCTTGGTTGCCTGACTGCAGCGA